CTTAGGACAAACTTTATGGATAGCCTAGCCAAACTTTATGGATAGCCTAGCTAAAGCCAAATTTTATGGATAGCCTAACTAGCGACAAACTTTATGGATAGCCTAGCTAAAGACAAACTTTATGGATAGTCTAGCTGAAGACAAACTTTATGGATAGCCTAATTAATGACAAACTTTATGCATAGCCTAGCTTGCAACAAACTTTATGGATAACTTAGCTAGCAACAAACTTTATGGATAGCCTAGCTAGCGACAAACTTTATGGATAGCCTAGCTCAGGACACACTTTATGGTTAGTCTAGCTAAAGACAAACTTTATGGATAGCTTAGCTCAGGGCAAACTTTATGGATAGCCTAGCTAGCGACAAACTTTATGGATAGCCTAGTTAAAGACAAACTTTATGGATAGCCTAGCTAAAGACAAACTTTATGGATAGCCTAACTAATGACAAGTTTTATGCATAGCTTAGCTAGCGACACATGTAAGTTTATACAGCCGTTAACCAGGAAAATTAAACACTCAATTAACAATGCATGCAATGATTATATATATATATATATATTTATCTATTGGAAATAATAATTTACTATAAATCTTATCTATGGGAAATAACAATTTATCATAAATGTTGTCTATGCAAATAACAATTTATCATAAATGTTGTCTATGGAAATAACAATTTATCAATGTTGTTTATTGGAAATAATAATTTAACATAAACGTTGTCTATTGGGTTGAACGTGTCACAAATGTTCGGCAATAAATCTGATTAAAATACAGATCTATATTTCGTTTCGTTTTATACTTTCGATGGCCTACACTACATGAAGATCTGACAAGTTATAGCGATAGGTCACGTCAGGGGTCAAAAGACTGACTTATGACCCTATGATGTCAGACATTTGATTAACCAATCAGCATTGATGTTACTTGTGGATTACCCACAGTTCCGAGAAAAACACGCCTAATGCTCGCCGTAACAGACCGTTTCATTGGCTTATCCCTGACACCATTCGGAACACGAGTTAAATAACAACTCTTCCAGATCCAAGTGCAGTAAAGACAAGTAAAACAAATTTTGAACTATAAAAACAAAACGAAATAGGATCTGTGTTTTAACCAGATTGTGCGGCAATATGACCACGAAGAGGATGTCAATATGCTCGTGACAAGGGATTCTTAGGCATTTCGTACGTTTTTTCGAATGGCTGTCATAAAAACAGGGGGTTTCAGAGTTGAACATTTGACATTTCATTTAATTCAGTGGTCTGATACCATACGATAATCAGGATTATTCCCCCTGATTTACTGTTTCGTTCAAAATTAAAATTACAGATGTCTGCGCTACATGGACAAATATCATACTGAGCTGATACATGATTAGGATAAATATAACATCACTGTTACAAATTTTGGCACGTAAGAGTCAACCATGTTTCTAGAAAATTTAAATTCTACGATTGAAGAGAAAAACATGTAGGCTACCAGCGTATTATGGACAAGGAATGTCATCGCAGTCATCTTGGAATTGTGATGTCATTTTAAAAAATCCGACAGCGGATGCGTAATTGTCCAAAGAATAAGCATGCCATGTTCCATGTCGATCTTATTTGAATTGGAGGAACCTTGGAGTTTTTTTCGAACACCGTCGACCTCCCCCGTGAACAACAACAAAATGAGCAACGCTTGGACCCCAGTTCCTAGTCCAACAAGGATTCTATTTCCTAATCCAGTTATTTGATCAAGCTGATTAAAACACAGATCCTATTTCGATTCGTTTTTTATAGTTCAAAATTTCGTTTTATTTGTCAGGCATCGAAAGTATAAAAAAAACGAAACGTAATATAGATCTGTATTTTAATCAAATTGGTTGTTTGATAAGAGTATAAAAACAAATTAATTATAAATAATACAATGCATAAACAACTATTAATCATAGGTTTTGATTTAGGTCTCTACTTTTACAAGGCTATACTAAGAACAGAATAATTCAAATTAAATAGTGGTTTTATACAGAATATACCGAGGCTTTTTTAACGAAAATTTAAGATTAAAATATTTTGTGAATGCTACCTTTCCATTGGATAAAAGTTGAAAGTTAGCTCTTCGCCAATGAAAAGTCTGCTAACGTAAATTAATTTAAGTTTTTAAAAATAATGAATATATAATTCTAATTAAAATGGCGGTTTTACAAAGAACATATCGGGTAATGGATATATAATTCTAATTAAAATGGCGGTTTTACAAAGAACATATCGGGTAATGGATATATAATTCTAATTAAAATGGCGGTTTTACAAAGAACATATCGGGTAATGAATATATAATTCTAATTAAAATGGCGGTTTTACAAAGAACATATCGGGTAATGGATATATAATTCTAATTAAAATGGCGGTTTTACAAAGAACATATCGGGTAATGGATATATAATTCTAATTAAAATGGCGGTTTTACAAAGATCATATAGGGTAATGAATATATAATTCTAATTAAAATGGCGGTTTTACAAAGAACATATCGGGTAATGGATATATAATTCTAATTAAAATGGCGGTTTTACAAAGAACATATAGGGTAATGAATACATAATTCTAATTAAAATGGCGGTTTCACAAAGAATATATCGGGTAATGAATATATAATTCTAATTAAAATGGCGGTTTTACAAAGAACATATCTGGTAATGAATATATAATTCAAATTAAAATGGCGGTTTTACAAAGAATATATAGGGTAATGAATATATAATTCTAATTAAAATGGCGGTTTTACAAAGAATATATCGGGTAATGGATATATAATTCTAATTAAAATGGCGGTTTTACAAAGAACATATCGGGTAATGAATATATAATTCTAATTAAAATGGCGGTTTCACAAAGAATATATCGGGTAATGAATATATAATTCAAATTAAAATGGCGGTTTTACAAAGAATATATCGGGTAATGGATATATAATTCTAATTAAAATGGCGGTTTTACAAAGAATATATCGGGTAATGAATACATAATTCTAATTAAAATGGCGGTTTCACAAAGAATATATCGGTTGATGAATATATAATTCTAATTAAAATGGCGGTTTTACAAAGAATATATCGGTTGATGAATATATAATTCCAGTCAAAATGGTGGTTTTACCATGAATATATAATTCTAATGAAAATGGCCTTTCTTTTTTTAATTTAATAGATAATTAATGAACATCGGTTTTTAAATTGAATATGCAGTAAAAATCAATCTTAAATGGTGAATAAAACATGACACAATTATATGGAATACAGGTTACTTAGAAGTTTATTTCTGGTGAGGTTTCGGGGAGGTTTTATCAGACGCCCTACACCACAACCATTAAAGCCGTTGGCCGCCATTTGTCATTTTCGAAAAAAATAAAAATTTTCCACGGCTTTTTTCAAGCTAAAATTTAAGTACTGATATTGAGAGAGGTAGAGAGAGAGAGAGAGAGAAATGGGGTTTAAACTAGGTCATTTCGGGACTAACATATGGTTCAGTTTTATTTCCATAATTCGCTTGCGTGTAGGGGTCTTTAGCAGTGGGAGGAAACCGGAGAACCCGGAGAAAACCCACCAGGTTGGATAGGCAACCCTACTCCTTGTCACGTACAACCGGGGAATCGAAACCACGCCAGTCGACTCAATGACAGACTTTATGATACAGCGCGCACGTGCTAACCATTCAGCCATCGACCCACCCCCCACCCCCCATTTAATAAAAGAAAAGAAAACAAAATCCAAATATCAATGATAGATACCCTAAAGGCTTGGGTCAGTTAGATTAAAGATACATTATTCAAGAGCTAAATTTGCCTATTGCAGGTCTTTCTTTAGGCCTTTATATGAATTATTAATTAGACATAAATCTCATTATAACACAGATCCTATTTCGTTTCGTTTTTTATAGTTCAAAATGTCGTTTTACTTGTCTTTACTACACTAAGATCTGGAAGAATTGTTATATAACAGAAGTTCTAGATGATGTGAGGAATTAGCCAATGAAACGGTCTGTTACGGCGACTTCTTGACGTGCCATGAAACGGAACAGTGGGTAAGCCACTAGAAACGCCAACGCTGATTGATTAATCTATGTCTGACGTCATAGGGTCAAAAGCCGCTTGTACGACCCCTGACACGACCTGCGAGTACAACTTGTCAGATCTTCATGTAGTGTAGCCCATCGAAAGTATAAAAAAAACTAAATGAAAATATCGCAGTTTGCCAGGGAATAAAATCCCTCGAAATGCGATCAGTGGCTTTAATCTCTTCTGTTTTTACCCTCTAACCGACTCACACGCCCGAAGTTACCATGCAATTACATAACTACTCACACACCCGAAGTTACCATTAAAGTGGCGTTTAGATATATAAGAACTTTTTATTATTTAGTGTTTTTACCTATCTTCTATATATTACTCATCCAGATGTAAATAACTTAATTAAATCAACTTGTCCATAATATCATGCAATATGTATTAGATGTTAAATTTGTAATAAACAACAACAGCATAGGCTTCTCATTGTCTGCGATATCACCTCGGTGGACACGGACGTTAAATAAAGCTATTTCACACATAGTCTTCTCATAAACTTTCTATACATCTAATACAATGTTTGTTTCATTTAAGACTTACATGTATAACCAGAGAATTCTAGCTTTTAGAATACGGGTCAATCGCGCGATATTTATTCAACATATTGTGGCCGCTGCTTCCATAAACTTCTGTGTATGACCCGTCTATACTTATATAAAATCATGATATATCCAATATAACACTTTGATTAATTACAGCACTGAGAGTATATATATATATTTCTTTTGTAAATTTAGCCTTTACACAATTTATAATTATAATTTGAAACAATATTTATATCTTTAAATGTAATTTAAACCTTTATATAATTAAACAATGTATTTTTAATTTCTTTGTACATGTAATTCAAACCTATACATATTTAAATACAGTATTTGAATTTTTGTATATAATTTTTTTTACGGGGAATGAATTTGTAGGCATTCTAGACTATTTTTAGATCCCATAATCGCATATTCTATTTATTGAATAAATAATGTTAGAAAAACAATTAAATATTCCATAACAGCATGCAGTCAGACACCATATTGTATAATAATAATAAAAACCCAGTATCTTACCATTAATATTACACTGAACCTGTTGATAAGAGATGAAGGGTTGTAATAATGTTACACTGAACCTGTTGATAAGAGAGTAGGGGGTGTAGGGGGGGGGGGTGTGTAATAATCGATTTACATAGTAGTCTTGCACTGATCGTCCATTTTAGGGATTCTGGCTACCTTTCAAACAATAATATTGTGAAAGTTGAATTTTTAAAGTGAATATCCGTCCAAAAAGGGTTCAAATCTATTGAGTATTTACAAAGATATGATAAATCGCAAATTTCGCAATATTCGACATCCTCTGTTGACGATATAAACAAGCCAACGCCACCTATAGGTGTTAGGTAAAGTCTTTCGATGGGTTTATTTCAAATCCGATGGAATCCAAGCCGGGAGATTGTCTACCGTTGATATTTTGATTTTGTTTTCTTAATCACCTGTTCAATAATTAAATTGAGTAAATTTTAGTGCCAATTCAGTCCTGGAAAATTTGATATTCTCCGAAATATATAAATGACGCACATTGGCTTTAACCTATGTTTTAAATGGCGCACATGGGCTTTTACATACGTTTTAAATGACGCACATAGGCTTTAACCTATGTTTTAAATGACGCACATTGGCTTTAACCATGTTTTAAATGGCGCACATGGGCTTTAAACTACGTTTTAAATGGCGCACATAGGCTTTAACCTATCTTTTAAATGACGCACACAGACTTTAACCTATGTTTTACATGACGCACATGTGCTTTAACCTATGTTTTAAATGACGCACATAGTCTTTAATCTATGTTTTAAATGACGCACATGTGCTTTGACCTATGTTTTTAATACCGCACATAGGCTTTAACCTATGTTTTAAATGACGCACATAGGCTTTAATCTATGTTTTAAATGACGCACATGTGCTTTAACCTATGTTTTAAATGACGCACATATGCTTTAACCTATGTTTTAAATGACGCACATAGGCTTTAACCTATGTTTTAAATGAACCAAATCGTTATTTGAATTCCAGTTCATTCTATTTGACAGTTTGATTAGTTTCCGTTCACGGTGTTCAGATTACATGGTTTTAATAAAACATTGTTATTTTGGCATCAAAACAAACCCTCGTCTTTTCTAGGTGGTTGTTGTTCTCGGATATCTTCATCTAAGTTTGGTATTGCGGCTCCAGTGACGCTATCTGTTGGCATCTCTACAATATGTCCATAACCACTGGCTGTACGGTTTTCTCGGCTGTGATGCATACCATACAAGAAATACACCAGTAAACCTGGAAAAATTGATAAAAACGATTGAAATGAAATGGGGTTTAACGTCCTACTGTTCTGCTCCGACTGGGCTAATAAAGACGGGAAATTGGGTCTATGGCCTACTCTTATATCGAATTCCAAATGCCAAGGGATCTTTTACGTGCACGCCAATGTGTACACGGGACCTCGGTTTTACAACCCACCCGAACGACTAGACAGCTGTGGTTGTCAGGCCCATCGTCCTGCACCACTGACAAGGGGAAACCACGCCGATGAACTTTTTCGGCCAACACCGGGAGTGAACCCGCGGCCTCCGGGCTAGCAAGCCAGCGTCTTACTCACTTAGCCACCGTGGGTCCCTTGATAAAAACGATATTAGAGATGTTCCTATTGGACGCGACATATGTTTACAGCACTGTAGCAGCCAGTTGTGTAATAACAACCAGTTTTGCAATAACAACCAATTTTGAAACAACAACAAGTCTTGCAACAACAACATGTTTTGCAATAACAACCAGTTTTGTAAAAAAAATTAAATTATTGCAAAAATGCTTGATATTACAGAAGTGGAAAGTCGAGTGAACCATTTTGTCATTTTCATCATTACCGTGATAATTTTGTTCACCCTGATGATAGAATCGATGTATACATCATGCACGTTATCATCAGTATGATTATCGATGTATACATCATGCACGTTATCATCAGAATGATTATTGATGTATACATCATGCACGTTATTATCAGAATGATTATTGATGTATACATCATGCACGTTATCATCAGAATGATTATTGATGTATACATCATGCATGTTATCATCAGAATGATTATTGATGTATACATCATGCATGTTATCATCAGAATGATTATTGATGTATACATCATGCATGTTATCATCAGCAACACCATTTCCATACCCATTTTTATGAGAGTTGCGACAGTTTCTCATTATTGAAGTTTTATTGCACAAATGATTGATATTGTAAAACTATTTTAAAGTTCATCGGGAATTTCCCGTCGTGGTTCCCCTTTGTCGGTGATGCAGGGCAGCGGGCCTGGTAAGGGGCAGTGTATAGTCGTTCGGATGAGACCGAAAACTGAGGTACCGTGTACACACTGGCGGGCATGTAAAAGAACCCATGGCAGTTGGAATTTGATACAAGAGTAGGCCGTAGCACCGCTGTCCCAGAAAAATTTCCCTAATAGCACATCGTATGGCGTATGGCCGTCTTCATTAGCTCAGTTATATCACATCTCATTTCATTGCCCCGAGGTTTGGCACCCTGCCTACCGCCACACAAGCTGCCTTGTTACAGTATAATTGTATTCATTGATTTAAAGCTACATTCCCACGTACAAACTGTGTGATTTCATGATTTGGTGATATATCTGGACTAAAAACATATTCAAATTAAAGTTTGCTTCAAATCCCTCTCAAAACATTTTAATCACAAGGAAAATCTTTTTTTTAAGTAGCACTTTTGTCATGTTACTTGATTGAGAGAGGGTCCAATACCAGCTTAGCTTGTATTTGTCATTACTCGTTGTCTCATTTTTCTCACAACTGCTAGCCATTCGATCATCACATACAAACGTTCTCTACATCACTCGAGCAGACAACAAGCCGACGGGTTGCCAACACTGGCAGTCTTACATTTTTATCCTGTGCGCGCCCCATAGGTATATGGCCGAATGGTTAGCACGTGTGTGTTGTATCAAAGGGTCTGCCATTGAGTGAGCTGGCGTGGTTTCAATTTCTCAGTTGTACGTGACAATGAGTAGGGTCGTCTGTCCAACCTCGTGGGTTTTCTCCGGGTCCTCCGGTTTCCTCCCACCACTGCTAAAAACCCTACCCGCAAGCGAATTATTGCATCATATGTTAGTCCCGAAACGACCTAGTTTGTGTCGAGTGGATGTTAAAGCCCCATTCCGACAGAATATTCTGGCAAGTAAAGGATTCCCTAGTTGTACGGATGATACAAAAAACTTATAGCACTCATAAAATAACCTTGGCCATAAAACAAATAGTCGTATGTTTGTTTTAAATTGACTGAAATATTTACGGGACATTAAATTACATTCTTTTCTGGGTAGGGGGCGGGAAGTGGTCTAAAGTCTAATTTAAGTGACGTGATTTCAAACCCAAGCTTTGTATGTGACAAGAAGTGTGGTCACCTAACTAACCCCGTTTTCTCTTGCCGTCCATTTTCTTTAAACAGCTAAGGTCCCTATGCGCAACTGCAAGCAACTTGTTAAAGCGAGAATTTCATATTTTCTAAGAACGTCAAAACATAATTATTTCTATGTCTTTTGCTCAATAGGTTATCAACTCACTATTATACGATCATAGGCTTTATTTCCCAAACTTAAAAGTCATTGACACAGGAAATAATAACACAATTACCTCCCTTGTTTTCCTATCCACCCCATGGAATAGCTATCTTCAAACGTTTGATTTTGAAGTTGAAAATGATATTTTTGCCAATTTCTCAACTGGCAATAGTGAATTATAGGATTAATAGGATTATTCTTTAACAAGGTAGGACTGTTTATCGATACCATCTATATTAAGGCTTTATTTTAATAAATTTTAAAAATATAACCTAAAAATATGAAATTGTAATTGTAAATAACTACCCGATAAATAATTTCACGGAAATTCATTTTTAACATATACAGCATGAAATTGTAATTCAGGCGCATGGAATTTTTAAATATAATATGATACTAACAAAGCAAATCATTTTTTTTGTAACAAAATATACCAAACAAAATAAATCTATTTAATAAAACATCAATATTTATCTTTTATCTTTCAGCTGTAATAGAGAAAGGTGTTATGGCTAAATCAATATTAGCTATACTTTAAACAGCAAATGTAAGAAATTCTGTAAAACAGTGTACAAACGTTCAATGTAATACACCAAAGTTTACAGGGCGTATGGAAATATTCTTTAGAACAGCGATTTCTCTCCAGAGCCCATGTGTTTAACTGTCGTTTGTCTGTTCTGATTTGTCTGTTCTAGTTTTTTCTGTTCTAGTTCTGTCTGTTCTGGTTTGTCTGTTCTGGTGTGTCTGTTTTGGTTTTGTCTGTTCTAGTTTTGTCTGTTCTGGTTTTGTCTGTGTGTATGTCTGTTCTGGTTCTGTCTGTTCTGGTTTTGTCTGTGTGTATGTCTGTTCTGGTTCTGTCTGTTCTGGTTTGTCTGTGTGTATGTCTGTTCTGGTTTTGTCGGTTTTTTTGTCTGTTCTGGTTTTGTCGGTTCTTTGCCTGCATGTATGTCTGTTATGGTTTTGTCTGTTTTGTACGTTCTGGTTTGTCTGTTCTGGTTTTGTCTGTTCTTGGTGGTCTGTTCTAGTTTGACGTCTACGCTAGCGCTGTCCCCATCCTCCCTGTCCCCGCCCCCAACCTCTCGAGACTGAAATTTGATGTATAAGGATAGCTCGAGCTGGTGAGTGATATATGCACTTCCGGTTTTCTAGTTAATCTACTTCCGGCATCACGAAACTCCTAAGGAGATATTAAATATGAGGGGGTCTTGTTTACGCGTGTGCGTGAAATCACAAGGTCTGTCATTGAGTCAAGTGGTCGCCTGTCCAACTTCGTGGGTTTTCTTTGTGGTCACCGGTTTCTTCCCACTGCTAAAGACCCCTACATTAAAGGAAATTATTGAAATAAAATTGAACCACATGTTAGTCCCGAAATGACCTAGTTTGTGTCGAGTGGACATTAAAACTCCATTTCTCTATCTCTCTGTTAAATATGGCGAGGGTGTGAACAATTTCCAATCCTATGTTGTCGTTGCGGTTGGTTCCAACGATTATTGTAAGCAACCACGCCTGCTACCATGTCTAACTCATTTTAGACTTCTTTTATGGTTATGATAAAAACTATTTTTAGAATTACTGGTTTATTAACATGCAAGGTTTCGACGATGATACTCTCGTCTTTATAAGAGTGTTACGGCTCAATTACTAAATGACAACCAAGAAGTTCTTTTTATGGTCATTTCATTGGTCAGTTAACAATGGAGATTCAGAGTGAATATCCATACAGATTCTTTAAAGTAGCTAAGTCTCTAACTCAATATCATCCAAAATCTTCAACATTGAAAACACGATTTATTTGTCAAATTAAATCAACATTCATGTTGTGATCTTACCGGAAAAAGATGGGCTTTTGATATCAAATATTTATGACAAAATAAACATTTTACCATTGGTACACGAATCGTGTACCATAATGCGCTTCAGCCCCAGTTGTAACAAGAATCTCGAGGGACGAGGCTAGACACATTGCACCAAATCAAACGGCGTATGTAGACTGGAATAACCAGACGCTAGAAATTTGCACTTGATTGATACTGCTGGCTTATTTCGCCGAACATAACTGATTTGAAATTGGAGTAAAAACGGTAACCATTGAATGTAAATCAGTTTCTATACATTCATATTACAGTATTATATGCGTTGCGACCCACTTTTGTCAATTTCTAGGTCCCAAATGTTAGCGATTTAGCTCCTTTAAACTTTGAACTTCAGCTCTCTAAAGAGCTCAAAATACTTTTAATTTGACCTTTCAACTCTCCAAAGTTGAATCTCAAATTAGTTTTATTAATCAGATAAAATGACAATCGGGCGGTCGCCATGACAGATACGCCCACTTGGAGTATTCAGACTGGCAGCAGTCGAGTAATCAGTTGAAGTTAAAATATCATATAGCCATAAAAAAGGCCATGAAAAGTGTTTAAACTAGTGTAACATCTGCAAGCCTTTACTTTCAACCACATATTTTTATTGATTAAATTAAATGAAATGGGCTTTAACATCCTACGTTATCGTTCATCCCGATTTTCCAACGTGGTTTCCCCTTGTCAGTGATGCAGGACGGAGGGCCTGACAAGGACAGCTGTCTAGTCCTTCGGGTGAGACGAAAAACCGAGGTCCAGTGTAAACCTTGGAATGCACGTAAAAGATCCCTTGGCAGTTGGAATTCGATATAAGAGTAGGCGATAGTGCCGCTGCCCGGGCAAAATTTCCCGCACAGCACACTGTATGACGTATGCCCGTCTTCATTAGCCCAGTATAGGAGCAGAACAGTAGGACGTTAACCCCATTTCCTTTCATTTCATTTACATCCTACGTTTCTGAAATAAAATGTGGTTTAACATCCTACGTTTCTGAAATGAAATGTGGTTTAACGTCCTGCGTTTCTGAAATGAAATGGGGTTTAACGTCCTACGTTTCTGAAATGAAATGGGGTTTAACGTCCTACGTTTCTGAAATGAAATGTGGTTTAACATCCTACGTTTCTGAAATGAAATGTGGTTTAACATCCTACGTTTCTGAAATGAAATGTGGTTTAACGTCCTACGTTTCTGAAATGAAATGTGGTTTAACGTCCTGCGTTTCTGAAATGAAATGTGGTTTAACGTCCTGCGTTTCTGAAATGAAATGTGGTTTAACGTCCTGCGTTTCTGAAATGAAATGGGGTTTAACGTCCTACGTTTCTGAAATGAAATGGGGTTTAACGTCCTACTGTTTTGCTTCGAACTGGGCTAATGAAAACGGGTATACGCCATACAGTGTGCTATGAGGGAAATTTTGCCCTGACAGCGGCGCTACGGTCTACTCTTATATCGACTACCAAGGGATCTTTTACGTGCACGCCAATGTGTATACGGGAACTCGGTTTTTCGTCCCATCCGAAGGACTAGACAGCTGTCCTTGTCAGACCCTCCGTCCTGCATCACTGACAAGGGGGAATCACGCCGGAAAATCTGGATGAACTTGGTATACACATTGAAGTGTGCTGTGAGGGTAATTTTGCCCGACCAGTGGCGTTATAGCATACCCTGATTTCGAATTCCGACTGCCAAAGGCTCTTTTAGGTGCACGCCATCGTGTATACTCGACCTCGGTTTTCCGCCCCGTCATTGGCACCCGTTTTGCACCTCTGACATGGGGAAACCCCACCGAAAAATTCCGAGCAGGCCCTGATTTAACGAGAGAGGGGGGCGCCCCATGAGACCAAGTAAGCGCCCCCGTGAGACAGAGTCCCCTTAGGCCCAGTGCCAGTGCCGGCGGGTAATATTGGACTGTGTGGAACATGCTAGAGTCGATTTGTACCATATCTGACTCACCGTATATGTTTGATACTGGTTAATCATTATGATTATGATTATGATTATAATGTTGAAAACCGCATTGTGCGAGGGAGCACAAAAACTCAAAGCCATGATGCAATGCTCGTCATTGCGTCCCTCCCCCTCACTTAGACCCTGGTAGTACCACTAGTGAGTGGGACGACAGACTGTACAAATGTTCTGCCAACTCTTACAAAACAGGCCTAATAGACAGTTAGATCTCGAGATACTGTCCCATTGACTCCCATTTCTGGTCCTCTTGTTCACAAGAATCTGCTCCCAGGAATGACCTCAAATGCCAGGATATTGACTCAATTTTTCAAAAAAAATTTAGGGGGAGACCCCCCCCCCCTATTCGGGGTGCTCAGTATTATAGTCACTACCCCCAAGGTTCACAAAAATTTAATAACAAAATCAATAACAAATATTTTGTTGACATTCATTGTGGGGTGGGATTGTGGATGGCGCGTTAGATTTGTCGTGTAGACCATATTTAAATTCTATGAGAACAATATGATGTCGTTTTTTAAAGAAAATCCCTTGCAAAGTGGTGTAGATGAAAATGATGAAAGCGGAAATTCCTGGTCCGCAACCCGACAATACGGATACGTCATACGTGTGGGACAAATTCTGCTTGTCAAGAGTCTCTAATAATTATTATATTCTTACCTATGGCCATCCATATTACAAGACGAATCCAGGTGAGGTATGAAAGCGAAAACATCAGAGCTAAGTTAAGAAATATACTGACAGCAGGTAGCAGAGGAACGAATGGTATCTGTAATTAAAATTAAAATATTATAGAACGCAATAGAGAGACCAAACGATATCTGTAATTAAAATTAACATATTTTAGAAGGTAGCAGAGAGACCAAACGATATCTGTAATTAAAATTAACATATTTTAGAAGGTAGCAGAGAGACCAAACTGTATTTGTAAATAAAATTAACATAATATTGAAGATAGCAGAGAGACCAAACGATATCTGTAATTAAAATTAACATATTATAGAAGGCAATAGAGAGACCAAACGGTATCTGTAATCAAAATTAACATATTATAGAAGGCAATAGAGAGACCAAACGGTATCTGTAATTAAATTAACATATTATAGAAGATAGCAGAGAGGCCAAACGGTATCTGTAATCGAAATCAACTTATCAAGAGGCAACAGGGAGACCAAACGATATCTGTAATTAAAATTAACATATTATAGAAGATAGCAGAGAGACCAAACGATATCTGTAATCAAATTTAGATATTATAGAAGGCAATAGAGGGACCAAACGGTATCTGTAATTAGCATTAACATATTATAGAAGGTAATAGAGAGACCAAACGGTATCTGTAATTAGCATTAACATATTATAGAAGGCAATAGAGAGACCAAACGGTATCTGTAATTAGCATTAACATATTATAGAAGGTAATAGAGAGACCAAACGGTATCTGTAAACAAAATTAACATATTATAGAAGGCAATAGAGAGACCAAACGGTATCTGTAATAATAATTAACATATTTTAGAAGGTAGCAGAGGAATAAACAGTATCTGTAATTAGAATTAACATATAGTTCTAGCAGAGAAACAGATGGTATCTGTAATGAAAGTCAACCGGCTTATATTTTAATAATAATATATTCATTTCATACACAAAGGTATACATACAGAAGTTAGATACGATAATAATAATAATAATAATAATAATAATAATGTGTAAACCCTTATAATAATAATGTGTAAACCCTTATAATAATAATGGTAGTAATACTAATAATAAAATTTACAATAATTTGCTCCTTTAAATGTAAAAGATTGACCATCTAGGGTTAAACTAATATAGTACTCACCTGAAATGTCATAAAAGCGTCATTCTGCTCATGCGCTATAATAATCATGTAGGAGAAAACCACCATGGCGCCAAACAATAACATAAATATGACCAGCCACCAAGTTCCCGCCTTCAGTAACGGCATTCCATAAATTAAGGTAGACGTAAATAATGCCATGGAGATTGTCATCAGAACCACTGCGATAACAACTGCGTCACCAGGTTCATAATTTCTTAATATGGGTATATTTTTCAATCTTTGCCTTAAGCGTCCGAAATCGTCATGGCTCTTGGACTTTTTAAGAATAGTACTATTTTCTGTCGCGTAATCTTCTTCTTTGCCCGCAACTTCTTCCGGTTTCAGTTCAAACTGGCATTTGGAGACGGGTAAATAACGTAATATAATAATACATGCGGCCACTATGGTGTAAGCGGTTAAAGTTCCGATAGACATAAATTCGATCAAAGTATCTATGTCAAAAAATAATGCCATCAGACATGATATAAACCCAAATACTCCCACGGCGTACAGAGGTGTCTGCGTTTTTGGATGTACTCGAGCGAAACATTCGAACAGTAAGCCATCGTTAGCCATGGCATAAACGGATCGGGGTAATGAAAACGCTGTTCCCAACATTGACGTAGAGAGACCAAATAAAGTTCCCAGGGCTACGATGTATTTTGCCCAGTAGGCGCCTCGTGCTGCGAATGCCAAAGGGAATGCTGCCGAAGTGTCAGTCATTGTGTATGGTATCATTAAGGTCAAGGTTACGCTTACTAACATGTAGATAAAGGTCACAACCAGAAGAGACACCCCGGTTGCTATGGGAATCGACTTCTCGGGATGCTTGGACTCCTCGCCGGATACAGCGATACCCTCAAATCCGATGTAGGCGAAGAAGCAAGAAGCTGCCCCAGCCAAGGTTCCAGTGAATCCAAAAGGAAAGAAGCCACCGTTGTCCGTATTTGACCAATTATTGGTATCCGCAAAGTATAGACCGGCGCATATAATAAACAAGATAACACCACCATTGAATATGGTAAACACCGAATTGAAGCGGATACTGAACTTCGCACCCGTTGCTACCACGCAAAACATTACTATGGCGAACAGACATGCCAGGAAATCAGGATATTCAGAAAACCAAACACTATCTTTGCCAAGGTAACCAATATGAGTTATCGTTCCATTCCGGATTGCTTGGTGAAGCAGAGAATCAAAAGATGCACTCCAGGCTCGCGCTACAGCAGCTGCGCCGATGATGTGCTCCAAAAGAATATTCCAACCAATTACAAATCCCCAAATTTCTCCGACTGTAACGTAGGTGTATGAATAGGCTGATCCAGCTTTTGGTACTCTGGCACCAAATTCTGCATAACACAAAGCCGACAAAAAAGCGGTCATACCAGCAAAGAAATACGAAAGTACGGTTGAGGGACCAGCTTTGAGTCTAACTACGGCTCCAGTAAGCACGTAGATACCAGCACCAACCATGTGCCCTATGCCTAACAACGTGATGTCGAAGGTCGTCAAACATTTTCTTAAGGATGTTTCATGGAAATCTTCACTGATGGTCTTCTTTCTGGTAACCTGGTCAACAAACCGTTGTAACACACCCATTTTAACCTGAAAAACAGCAACAAACAAACTGAGATAATTCAGCTGGATAATCTAGATAAAGAGAGAGGGAGAGAGAGAGAGAGAGAGAGAGAGAGATAGATGGGGTTTAACGTCCACTCGACACAGACTAGGTCATTTCGGGACTAACATATGGTTTAATTTTATTTCAATAATTCGCTTGCACGTAGGAGTTTTTAGCAGTGGGAGGAAACCGGAGGACCCGGAGCAAACCCACGAGGTTCGAAACCACGCCAGTTAACTCAATGACAGGACTCATGATACAGCGTGCACGTGCTAACCATTCGACCATCCAACCCCCCTCTAGATAAAGAGGACATCAGGCCCATAATTAGGGGGGCGCAGGGGGAGCCAAGCCCCCCCTTACAAATAGTGTCCCCCCGCCCTGTAAAAAAATTGTTGACCATAAAAACAATAGATATACATTGTCCGTCAATTTTACAGCACCCCCTAAGAACACTTCCCGCCCCCTCGTTGCTCTGAGCTAGTTAGGGCCACAGAGGACATGTAATTGTTTTGGGCTGTATAGGCTACCGCGTAATAAATTGTATCGGATCTTTATTCCAGCCTAGGCTAAGAAGAACCTTCGGACATTTTTTTTTCAAGTCCGTGGCGCCTGTAGTGTTGACGACAAAAATGTGCCCAGATGTAGAGGCGTGATGAAAGATCTCTAATACTGACTAAACTGACAAGAAAATTGTGCATATTCGTTCGGATGGAACGAAAACCAACCGAGGTCCATCCGTACAAGTTACAATAAATATGGCAGTTGGAATTCGAACAAATGAGTGGAAACGTTTAACTCTTAGCACGCGTCGCACACGTCACCATAATGTCGGTCTCAAAATTGTTTATGGACGGGGCTCCAATACCATTTCATATAAAATTATTATTAATACTAGTAGTAATAGTGTGCAGAATTAAAGGAGGCGAGTCTCTAACTCAATATCATCCACAGTCTTCGACACTGCAAACACGACTTATTGTATTGGTCAATCTAAATCAACATTGATGTTGTTATCTTACTATAAGAGTTAGGCTTCTGGTAACAAATATATATATTTAACACAAAATGAAAATTACATTAAAAACAGAAACGACTGAATGTAAATCAGTTTATATACATTCATATTACATTATTATATGCGTTGTGACCCATTTGTGTCCATTTCTAGATGCCAAATAGAGATTTAGCTCCTTGAATATCAAATTAGTATCTTATTATTGTACCGACATACGCTGATTGGTTTATCGTTCTAAATATACGCTACATTCCAAGACCGGTTTTTTCTATATTACAAAACATAGAACAAGACACCAGATTTCCCTAGCGACACAACAAAACAAAATGACAACGTGAAGGATTACTGATTGCAAATTTATAATTAACTTTTAACCCACGCAACAAGAAAAATCAATAGAGAAGGAGACACTAGATCTTTGCTAATTATCCTCAAGCCCTGATGAAACAAAACGTCAAAATTCTCGTTATATTTTGACAGGGCCATGCGGTTGAACCGTTTGAAGTTCCATTCTCTGTTGAATAGATTTTTGTCGTCAGGGTATTGGGTGTGTGGGTGTGTTTGTGGGTGTGTGTGTGTGTGTGTGTGTGGGGGGGGGGGTTATCAGGTACAAAATACCGTCCACTATCTATGCGACAATTGAAAGCGAGAATTTCATATTTTCTAAGAAATTCAAAACATAATTATTTCTATGTCTTTTGCTCAATAGGTTGTCAACTCACTATTATACGATCATAGGTATCATTCGCACACTTAAAAACCATTCACCCCGGAAATAATAACACAATTACCTCCCTTGTTTTTCTATTTCCCCCCCCCCCCCCATGGAATAGTTATCTTCAAACGTTTCAATTTGAAGTTGAAAATGATATTTTTGCCAATTTCTCAACTGGCAATAGTGAATTATAGGATTAATAGGATTATTCTTTAACAAGGTAGGACTGTTTATAGATACCATCTATTTTCAGGCTTTATTTTAATACATTTTAAAAACATAACTTAAAAATATGAAATTATCGCTTTAAGCGTCGAGTTTAGCGACAAATATTACCGTAATATAAGTGGAGTAAGCACACTACACGACGTGTTTCGTCATGTGACACCTCTAAATGCATTTTAGTCGTCATCGCGTTGAATACTTCAATTTTGTACAAGGTTGTCAGACAGCGGCGTAGCCGTCTTAGCACAACGCCGGTCGAGTGCAGTGCGTTTATAGTATTCCAAGTAACGAGCTCAAATTGGGCGACTCTTGTATGTATAGAAAACTGGCTTCGTGAGTCCAGAAATATTCCAGAGTATCTTAAATAAAATTTTGAAAAAAAACCAGCCTATGTCGTCGAGTAGTGTGCGCCAGGCTTAAGAAGAAGATAACCAAAAGTAAGAGAAAAGTCGTATAATATAAAAGAGATGTTTTTGTAGAGGAAATAACTGGTAATTTTATGCATTTTCTACATTAGACTTTCCCTATTGATTAAGATTATTAGTTGTTACTTGTTTTTGTATATAAACCTTCTGTATATTATTTTCATTATCATTTGCTTGAAAACGTTGAGAGAACCCTCAACGAAACGTCGCTTTAAATAAAATAGTAATTGTGTTCCATATTATGTTTTTGTATTACGTATGTCAATTGCTAAATGCCGCTCAAAGAAGATTAACCTTTCTACTCACGATTTTCTACCGCAGATTTTCTCCAATGGGATTTATTTTTAGAAACTCGAAAATCAAAAGATGATTTTTTTACTTTTTGCTTTTGATTTTTTACTTTCTAATTTTGATGGCTATGCTATTACCAGAATCCATCAAATTTTGCCGGTCGGTCGATTGCCGTAGGCAATTCGTATCATTAAAGCAGTGTTCTGATGCTTAATTTATTATATTCGAGTAACCCTATGGTCGTATTGGGAGTCACAGGGGCTTACTCAATCTGATTAAAACACAGATCCTATTTCGTTTCGTTTTTATGGTTCAAAATTTCGTTTTACTTGTCTTTACTACACTAGGATTTGAGAGAGTTGTTATGTAACCAGCGTTCTGTTTGATGTGGGGGATTAGCCAATGAAGCGGTCTGTTGCTGCGAGTTCATGGCGTGCGAAGCGCGGAACTATGGGTATCCTACTAAAAAAATCAACGCTGATTCATTAATCAAATGCTTGACGCCATAGGGGCAAAAGTCGGCCGTATGGCCTCTGATGCGACCTCCCGTAACAACTGGTAAGATCTTCATGTAGTAGAGGCCATCGAAACTATAAAAAACGAAACGAAATATATATCTGTATTTTAATCAGATTGTAGCTTAGTGGATATGTTGCTTGGTTACTAATCAGGGCAACCTGGTGTTGGACGAGGGGGTTCCTTGGGATTTTCCTGTCTGGATTCCGCTTATCAACAGGACGAAAACCCGAGACCACATACCTACTCGCCGCCATGCACGTAAACGAACGCACGACAGTTTGTCTAGTCGAACGTTGCCCCATAGCACACTGCATGGTGTATGTCCGGTACCCCAGCAGTAGGACGTTAAAACCCCATTTCATTTCATTTCGGTGCAGAAAAGTAGGACGTTAAACCCTCTACATCAGTTCATTTTATCTTGTATGGTTGTATTGATTTCTTTCAGACTGATATTAAAACTAGATTCAGATTTCTGTATTTAATTGAAAAACGATTATTAGATTTCAGATCAGTGAGACGAAAAGCAATTGGATTATTTATATTTTTCGAATATTCTTACACAAGTGCAGCTGCTCTATGCGTGCGATTTCTTTGTCTTTTCCATCTCGATGGACTTTAATAGTTTTCAGGCACGACTACAGCATATTAACCAGTAATTGGACATCGATTGTTTCAAGCGGTGGGAGTCGAGTTGAGAATTATAAACTATAAGCGTAGACATTGTCGCAATGTATCTGTCAGATCTATTCACGCTTCCCATACAGATCTGACATCGTTAAACATCCAGGGAATATGTTTACAAAACGCTTAAAGCGATAATTTCATATTTTTAAGTTATATTTTTAAAATGTATTAAAATAAAGCCTTAAAATAGATGGTATCTATAAACAGTCCTACCTTGTTAAAAAAAATAATCCTATAATTCACTATTGCCAGTTGAGAAATTGGCAAAAATATCATTTTCAACTTCAAATTCAAACGTTTGACGATAGCTATTCCATGGGGGGAATAGAAAAACAAAGAAGGTAATTGTGTTATTATTTCTGGGGTGAATGGTTTTTAAGTGTGAGAATGATACCGTTGACAACCTATTGAGCAAAAGGCATAGAAATAATTATGTTTTGACTTTCTTAGAAAATATGAAATTCTCGCTTTAACGCTTGTATCGTTTTATCAACCATGGCATATAGTCGGGTCTGTGTCAACTGTCACCATCTATGGGTTTTATGTCATTCTGCAGAGAACTACTTACTTTGAAAATAGATCTGTGCCTTGAATGGCCGCTATATTGAAAATTAAGTTGACTAATTGGTTACGCGGTTCTAATCCCTTTTACATATTTCATACACACAAAGACTAAATAAACATTTCAATTTCGTTAAATATGAATATGGAAGCAAAAAAATACTACTCGGAATTAATCTTCTCGATGTAGGAGTTAAAATGTCGGTCAACTGATTTCGTGTCTATTCTCAAGTGAAGGTAAATGTAGACAGACAGCGTACGTTTCGTATGGTTTTATAACTTTTATATACATGTATTACTAAATATGTTCTATTACGGTTATACTTTCGTGAGATACGGTCTCCAGTAAGCAATCGATAGGCCTATTGGTCGAGAAAGTTCCTCGAGATTGTCTGTCGTGGTCCCCCCCTGTCTGTGGTGCAGGACGGGGGTTCTGGCAAGTGCGGTGTCTCGTCTTTTGGATGGGACGAAAACCGAGGTCCCGTGTGCACGTAAAAGAAACCTTGACAGTTGGAATTCGATATAAGAATAGGCCATAGTGCTGCT